TAAACATTAAACCATGTCTGCATTTGTGATCGGAGAAACAACAAGCGCTAACGTTACTCTACACTGCTCAAAGCTCGCGTTTGAATCATCAGTGGCAAATCGTTTAAATATAAAAAACTTACTTACAGTCTGTGAGTCAGAACAGCCGGCATTGTAGTCTACTCTTCCAGGATCAGGAAACAGTCCTCCATAAAATGTGCTGCACACATCTGAATATTTGGGTTGAACTGTTCTGGAACGTTGTTGTAAATACAACTTAACCACTGATTTCTAGTCGTGTCCTCTTTTGGAAGAACAAACAAAGTAGGTTCGCTTTCACAACGAAGCACACAGCGTCTTCAGGACATGGCTGCAGCGTCAACAATACTACAGCGAGAATAAAAGTTACGCTTTCTTTCTTTGCGTGAACATTTGGGTGGCGTTATGCAAATCTTCCCACATCGTGACGTAGACATGTGGGGGCGTGTTAGAATGAGCCGTTTTAGGTAGGCGTGGTTGACTCTTAACTTTTATAAAGAATTTCTCTTTGGATTTGAGACTTTAGTCTTTGCAAATTTACAGATCTTCTTTATGCACCAAGAGCTTGTTCTTCCATCTTTCCTTCAGTGATTCTGCTTGTTAATAGCAGGTGTCATTACTAATGATCCATCATCACTCAGTTATCAGTATTCTAATTAACTGCACCACCACTTCAGTGTTATGTTTAATGCCATGTAGTGTCTACAGTCTTAGGGTAAAGTAAGTTTTTCCTTTGTGTTTTTTAAAAGTGTTGCGTAAAGATGACAATGTTGTCAAAATTATATCTCTCTTCACACGGATCTGCGTGACTAAAATGATTTATTATTTATGCCAGGCCAGCAGGTGGCAATGGCAATTTGTAAAGAAACACTACATATGCATTCTTCTACAGAGTGCTGAATACAAACAATCAAGATTGCGAAAGTCGCGAGACGACAACGGTATAATTTTCAAAAACTTGCACTTTAAAACCCTTTTTTTCAAAAGACTGTGCTTTCAGGCCCCCAAAATGCTGTTGTCGTGAAAATGAATGGCCAATATGCATAAAAAGTTTTCTGTTTTTAGTTGAAAACTGTGTCGTGTAAATGCCCCCTTAATTTAACACTGTGGATTTTGCAATGTCAATATTTACATTTTCTGAAAAATAACATGGGCTATATAATCTAGGGCCCTGAAGACTGTATTCAGGGTGTTTCTAAAGCGTTTGTAGCACATTGCAATGTGGTCACCACAGTGTATGTGGCTTCTATTGCATTAATAATGGTTGCTGGGTCATTGTAAGTGCATGCTAAGCACTTAATTAATATCACAAGTTAACAGAGCCCACCTCCAATATTCTATGATATTCTGTTCCATAGATACGTCTCTCAGAATACCGATGGGTCCTTCAAGTGGAACCAGAAAAATTTATGTCCAAGCGATCTATTTATGATATAATCTATCTAGTCATATAAATGAATATTTGTCATCATTTTGAATTCAGATGTAGTTATTCGGGTTTATTATTTACAATATAATTCTTTTATAAGACATAAGATGAAATTTTAAGACTGATTTCTTAGTAAAGTAATAGTACATCCATCTTTAACAAGCCACGTGATTAAAGTTATCATTTTGTCAAATTATTTCAACTCATTCAAAATGTACAATAAGCTGAGTGTTTACTTTATTCTAATGTTTCTAAAAATTCTAAAAATGTTATAGGCATTTCAGAGTGTTTTAATATTGTATGTTTATTTTCATCTGTTTTTATGTTTTAAAATCATATGTCCCTTTTTGTCGCTCCATGAATCTTTGCTGTTAACATTGTTGGGTACACAAAATACATTTCTTTATTTAGGATGTGAGAACCAAATAACATTACCAACAACATTTGCTTGCTTCACGCTTTACTACTCAACTCTCACACTTCAGGGCGTGTTCAGAATAAAAGAGGAACCAAAATACACAGATTCCAAGCAATATAAAAGCAAATTAGAAGGCAATGATGAAAAATAATAAATTCTAATGTTTACAGTGTAAACCCATGAAACATTTTTTTATTATTACAATGTGTAACCAATCATGTGGTAAACCATGGAATTTCCATATAATACAAACAATAATTAAAGTGTATAATTAAAGTGTATAATACTTAGTTGTCAATCTTCAAGTGTTCTCATATTTATGGTTCTCTTTGGAGACATATAAGCCATAAATGCTTCTATTTATTTACGTTTGTGCATTTAAAACACTGTTCTTCATTTACATAAGTAGGAGGAGAGAGGAAATCCATTCCTACAAATACAGGGGGTGTGACCGTCCCCACCTTAAGGATCTCTCTTGCCATTGGTCTTCCAAATCCTGCAGCCAATTCAAAACCACATGCCACTTTCTGCACTCCCCCCACAAGCCACGGACTGCATGAGGAGTGTGAGAGTTAGAAACAAGAGGGAGAATCACCCAGAAGAACAGCAGAGACAGAGAAGGTGTTGAGCATGCCATCATATGCCACCAACATGAGGCTCAAGTTTCCCATTCTGGCCTTAACACTGGAAGCCGTGACCATTGTCCTGTACGCTCTTCTTGTGGTATATGACACCGGTGATGCTCACGGACATGATGGGAGTCATGCAGAATCGAATACAACTCATTCAAGCAGCCCCATGACCCTTTATCCCAGTAAGTATTCCCCTGAACAATATATATGTTGTGAATAGTGTATATATGAGGTCTTGTTGTGACAACAAATTGATTGGTTTCAGTTAATTCTAAAATAGTATTTAAATAGTATTTTGACTCAACCTGAACACATTATGTTATAACTTTAAGAGTCAGATCAGGTGGAAACAGTTGGAAAATGGCAGTGACTGCTGCAGAAATGCTGTTAACATTTCATTGTCTTTGGCCATTGTCTGAATAAAATATTTGCTGGATGATTTGCAAATGAATTGATCCTCTTTAAGGTTGATATTTACTCTAGTCAACTTTGCTATTGAGTTTCATTGTACTACTCACTCATCAGTGTTTCACTGACTGAGTGTTTTATTTCTGTGAAGGCTTTGGCGCCAATATTTCACTAATGTTCATTCATAGCACGCAAGTCCCTAAAAATACTCCCTCCGGAGGGGAGGTAATGACACCAGCTCTTGCACTCTCAGGAGAAAGACAAAGAGGAGAGGGTGATGAAGGTCAGCTTTGGTTATTTATCCATGTCATCCATCTAGATCAGTGGTTTTCAACTGGTTCTGATTCAGGAGCCAGATCTTACACTGAACATCAACTGGTGACACAATACAGTACAAAACTATTTAATGTAGACTGCAAATGAAAACAAACAAAAAAAGGTTGTATGATCAAACTCTGTCATTGCTATTAACATTATCATTTCATTTACATATAAAATTATTAACAAGACATACTGTAGACTGAATAGGTAAATTGGCCAATTTGGATTTAATTTAATTTAATTTAATGTTGATGGTTTCATACTCTAAGCTGCCAAGAATTGCACAGAATGCATTATGGTTGCACAATAAATGTGTATGTAATATAATCTGGGTCATATGTTTATCGTGCATAGTTTTGTTCATGGTTTTCAGTGTTGTGTTGGTATTTGTGTAGATGTCTATGAAATGACAAGAATTTGAGCCAAAATACTGACTGGATGTACATCATTTGATGTCAACAACTAAATATAAGGGAAACATTCTCGCTTCCCCTTAAAAAGTCGATAAGCCTGTTTATTTTGGGCATTGACCCACCAGTTGAGAACCACTGATCTGCAGAATCTATTCTAAAAGGAATTATTCATTCAAGTAAACAGAAACACTGTATGTTTCCTTTGAGAAGTTTTAAACTTTAATTGCATTCCTTTAATTTTCTCTACATGGTTTGCTAATTGGCAGAGATGACATGCATTAGTTGTAAAATGCCCTCATTTTCTTTTATCTTCAAATTGCACTCGTGGTTGTTTGCGCGGACACGGTTTGGACTGAAACCAACTCTGGGGTGTGGAGAGTATGAACATGCAAGATTAGTCTCAGTGTCACATGTGTCCTCAATGTTTCCATTCAACCCTTCAAAAATTTCTTTGAAATCTGACTCATTTTATTACATTGACAAGTACATTAAACTTAATGTCATTGGATACTTTTGTCTAGGGTTTGATAAGAACTGTCATCTGTTTCTTAATTGCAGTTGTAACTTTGTTTGTGGTTTTCAGAGTACCTCACAGAGACACTGGACTATCCCAGCCCCCTTTATCCTATAAACAAAATTTGTTCATTTGTGAAATTCAAAGCAATCAGATTAAATACAATAAATATTCACCCTAGATAATAACTCTTTTGCCTTTGAGTTGCAAGAGGTGTGTTCAGAGATTATCAATTTAGTCACTTTAATGAATTTTTCTTCACACAACATTCTTAGTAGCTTAAGTTTAAAAATGTTGAAGTGATGGGCATGTCTGTTTAACAAAAACTAAATACTAATAGGAGTATACAAATGATTTGCCACCCATTGAACCTGATGACCTTTAAAAATGATTAAAAGGATATGTGAAAAAGAAAGAAAAATAAAAAGCATATGTGTTTATAGACTGGGAAAATTAAGGCCATCTGTCACTTTGGTACATACACGCAAGGCATTCCAGAAATGAGTGAGAACAGCTTCAAAGAAAATAAAATAAAGGACACTTTAATCTTGGCAACAAAGAAAACACATATAGCTGAGTTATGTCACTGTGCTCTAAATTAGAGATGACAGAATGTAATTAAGTTGCTGAACATCCACAAAGAGGGGAAACTTTCCACCCATTAGGAAAATGAGCCTTTGAGATTTTATCAGCAAATCTGTTGCATGTGGGAAATACGAAAACTTTCACTGGGAATATTATTCTGTTTGTTGTATCAGCCAACAGTTGGGAAAAATGGATTGTGCACCTTTACTCAGCCGGCAAGATGATCTGAATTCCACTATGATGCTCTTCCAAAGTTTGCATACATGAAATAGCCACCTTTCATTGGACTTTCAGTGAAAAGCCAACCTTATCATTGTAAATATATATAGCTCAAGATCAACAGAAAGATCAGTGGAAAAGACTTGGGTCATGCGACATCTGATAAGGGTTGATAACCTCTGTTTCATCCGTGTCAGAGGCCCACCTAAATGTTTTTGAGGGGTTTTCAGCAGGACCACATTTTAGTACTCACAACAACCATCAAAGACTAGTGATAATAAAGTAAATGACTGCTTGAAGACAGAGAAAGAACACTACTGTAGTACCACGGGAAGTTAGAAGGATGGGAAGGGCTGTGATGATATAACAAAACTAGATTCTATCACATTTTTGGGGATCCTTTGTTTCCACGAAACATTAAAAATGACCATTGAGAATTGAGTGTATGCAGTGATAAATCACATTCAGTTGTTTGTTTGTTTTTAGATGGCTTGCACAGCAAGATAAGACTGAAATTTGCTGATTTTTAATCATTGCGTATTTATCTAAAGTTTTCCTGTTTAGTCTTTTTTCTTACTGCATCATCGTACAGTGGTTCTTTGTGTATGGTCTGCTGACAGCATGAGGTATAAAATGAGGATATGATAGTTTATTGATCATTTATTTGAGTCCTGATCAAAGTGCCTCACCACTAAACTTAGTTAGTAGTACTTACAGGGGTCATCGGTCTTGATGAGCTTAGCAGATGTCAGACCATGAGCACTATGATTGATGACTATTTGGGTTTGTTACTGGCAAGTTTAGATTTCGTGTCGATTACTGAATGGGTGGACGCATTCCAAGGAAGACTGAATGTTTGCCTATTCAAAGCCTGGTGCCGCACCTTTTGAAAGTTCAGGCTTCATAGTTCCACTCATCTCTCTTGGGACTGACAATGAGATCCTTTTTAAACGTCCTGACAATCATTAATGTGTCTGATTATTATCAGCAGGCACAATAATATGGTTTGTATTGTGTAGTCTGAAAACGGGCCTTACTGATGAATCAGGTGTTCTGGACTGTATCCTATCTTTGTGTCCAGGGATGTTGACTGTACAGCTTCCTGAGTTGGATAGTCTACAACTCATTTCCTCTCTGCAGGAAAGATGGGCAAAGGCCAGCAGGACTGGCGCTATGTGTTGTTAAGACAATCAGTGTGCACATTCAGTTATTATGAATTTATAGAAATTGTTATACATGTTTGCATTTCCATTCATCCATCAGCGTCTCAGAAGGGAAACACTCTGGATGCATTAATTCAAAATGCAGCAGTGTAATATACATTATAGCAATTCGATTTTTACTGCATGAATCAAAATCACTCAATTTCTGACATAGTTTCAATCCCCAATGTTGGGTATCATTCATGAAAAGGAATGACTTCAAATCACTTGGTATGAAAGTCCTGTTTATATGGACCCTAATCTTTGCAGTCCAATTCGTTTACATGTGCATTGCATGTGCATCTATTCAAAATTGCAGTGCATGTGCAATGCCATGTTCAGAAACATGTACAAAACTGTCTTATAGTTTGTCATTTTGCAGCCAGTTAGAGCACTGAAAAGGCTGGAGCCTGGTTTGCTTTGAATGTGACAGATCCTGGAATAAGTACATTTTAACACTCAGAATCATGTGAATTTAATAAAATTATACACGCCAACAAGGTCAATAGGGGCAACTTCTTAAGCTGTCATTCATAGTCTTATAGAACAGCACACAAGACCTTTGCACAGCGACAGAAAGAGCATGGTTATTGAATTGTTCTGGCAATTCAATTCTGAAAGAGATTTCTGACTTAAAACAGAATGTGTCAGTGTGTCGCTGTGTAACAATTCTAGGTGTACAGCTGTTAATCAAGAATTACATTGCTACTAAACATGTTACGCATTCACTGTGAAGAGATCTGCACCATAAAATGAACAGTTCACCCTAAAAAGAAAATTATGTCCTTTACTCACTCTTTATGTTGCGTATTCTGGTTTTGTTTCTGTGTGGAAACATGTACAATACCTGTCAAAGAACAAAAATATCAAAACAGCACAGAGATGTATCAAGTAGCCCACTGTACGCTATGTTTCAAGTATTCTTAAATGGTTAGTTCAGCCAAAAATGAAAATTCTTTCTGTCATCATTTACTCACCCTTATGTCGTTCCAAAACCCATAAGACTCATTTTGTTCTTGTGAGCCCAAGACCCAATTGTTCATCTTTAGAACACGAATGAAGATATTTTTAGCTTGAGCTTCCAATTGCCATAACTGATGTGTGCATTAATTAATGTTTACACGTGAATAAAAGCCTAAATGAAATCCGTTAATCATATGAAGAGATCGAATCTCATCAGAAAATTTGGACTAAACCGATCAACAATCTCTTTCTAAATGTTTTGAAGCGTCAAAGTGGTAGTTGCATAGACTGTCAATGGAGGGACAGAAATCTCTCAGATATCATTAAAAATATCTAAATTTGTGTTCCAAAGATGAATGAAAGTCTTATGGGTTTGGAACGACATGAGGGTGAGTAAATGATGACAGGATTGTTATTTTTGGTGAACTGTCTCTTTAAGTCACACAATAGCTTTGTGTGATAGACAGACAGAAATTTACGTTGATATTTACTGATATAGCACAACAGTGCACCCTTTCAATGCTGACCTGTTCAAACTGCAGATGAACCAAATGTGGTTCTAGAATGCTGTGATTAATTTCAGGCTTCAGATGTGGAGCTCTTTCTCATAAACTCTTTATCCATGTGTCCAGTGTTTCAGGATGTACACGTGATGATCTTCATTGGCTTTGGTTTCCTGATGACCTTCCTAAAGAGATATGGCTTCAGCAGTGTGGGCATCAACCTATTGCTGGCTGCCTTTGGCTTGCAATGGGGTCTTCTCCTCCAGAACATCTGGCATATGCATGACGGAAAAATAAGAGTCAGCATCGAAAAGTAAACTCAACTTTTTGGTTATGGGGGGGATTTTGGGTGACAAAACTGATTATTATTTCATCATCTATCAAAATAGTTAAAAGCTAGATGTTCTGTTGTATTTGACTAAATATGCCCATGAGTAAAACTTTTTATCTGTCCCATATTTCCTTCTCTGCAGAATGATTAATGCTGACTTCAGTACAGCGACTGTTCTGATCTCGTTTGGAGCGGTTCTGGGAAAAACCAGCCCTGTACAGCTTCTCATCATGACCCTGCTGGAGATCACTATCTTCTGCATCAATGAGCATTTGGTTGTGGAAGTCCTTAATGTATGTACAGGCTCATTAGTTCATATACTTAAATCATTGCATATACTGCAATGATAATTTGTTTTAGTATTCTGGGGGAATCATTGTGAAGCCACTTCCATCCTTATTTGATCATTAACTTGATTTTCACCAGATCAAGTTCTTAGTGTAGGTTTAAACTTTATGCATAATTGTAATACTACTTTTAATTAGGTTGAGGTTCCTTAATATTGGTAGCAGAGCCTCGTGAAATTTCATGCTATCTGAGATCCTGCAAGGAACTCCTTACAAAAGGAAGCTGGGTCAAAGATGAAGGAAAAGCAGTTTAGGCAATTTTCTTTCTCCTTCCTAAAGTTGGCAGATTAAACTTAATGAACACACCCAGTGTTACAATAACAACCGAAACACAGTGTGCAAAACATCTTCTTCATCTTGAAGAAGATATACAGTGGGTATAGAAAAGAATCACCGCCATTTAAAATAATCAAATTTTGTTGCTTTGCAGACTGAAATGAAGACGGACAGTTTTTGTTTTATCCAGCTGTATTTACTCAGTGCAACTTATAACATCCAAGTGAAAGATATAACACCAATATGTCAGAAAATAACAATAATAATAATAATAATAATAAAAACAGAATCACTGATTCTGAAAATGGATCACCCCCCCCCCTCCTAAAAATGACTTGTAAACTCAATTAGGTGAAGCTAATCACCTTCTCAAAGGCACACAAAGCCATTTCACTTTCAACTGTGATCAGCTGTGCTCATTTTGATCAGCTCAGCATGAAAAGAGATTTCCTGGAGCATTTCAGTCCTTGGTAGTGCAACTGAAGCAAACAATCAACTATGGGTGGCAAGACAGTCAAAAGATCTCCAGGATAAAGTTGCGAACAGGCACAAGCCGGGAGATGGATCGGAGAAAAAAAAAATTCAAAGGATTTATCAATGCCTAGAAGCTAGTGATGGGAAGTCCGGCTCTTTTGGCTCGGCTCCCTTAGAAGAGCTGTCTCTTACGGCTCCCAAATGGCTCTTCATTTAGTATCACTCGGAGCCTTCTCTTTTAGCCTAATTTAGCAATTGTGAATGGATTGTGTGTTGGTAAGCAATTTTCTATTCAGTGTTTTTATAATAGCCTTATTTTTATGCATTTTTTTCGTTACAAAAATATACAGTTACTATTATTTAATATTTTAATAAAACTTTAATTGAACACAGAACCACAGCAAACAAATCAAATAAATAAAGGCAAAAGTCTTAACATTAAGACACTTTAGTCTTTAGTGCAGGTTGGCATTCAGAAATATCAGATGCCTCAGCTTGGGTGTGCTGATGCGATTTCTCCTCTCTGTGATTATTTGTCCTGTTTTTCAGAACACTCTCTAAAAAGGGGACTGATGCTGCAACAATGCAGTGTCTTCCAACCTTAACCAACGCACTTGCGTTTAAATCCGGATCCACCGTCTCTTTGTCGCTCTGTGTACCTGGCCTTTACCACTACACTCGTGTGTCCCCCTTCTTTCTTTCACATAATGGTATGATCCTAGTCTATCCTCCCATGTGATTAGCCGCATGTGTATTTTTTTTTTTTTTTTTTTACGAAAAATGCATAAAAATAAGGCTTTTATGAAAACACTGAATAAAAAATTGCGTACCAACTCACGAACCATTCATAATTGCTAAATTGGGCTAAAATAGAAGGCTCTGGCTGAAGATTCGGCTCTCCCCGACGGGAGTCGGGTCTTCTCGTTCGCTACAAAGAATCGGCTCTTAGAGCTGGCTCGTTCGCAAACGACACATCACTACTAGAAGCACAGTGAAGTCTATTATTACGAAGTGGAAGGTATTTGGTACAACACAGACCCTCCCTGGATCAGGACGTCACTCCAAACTGGATGAAAGAGCAGGAGGAAACAGGTCAGAGAGGCTACCAAGAGTCCTACAGCAACTCTGAAGCAGCTGCAGGAATGTATGACAGCGAGTGGTCATTGTGTGCATGTGACAACAATATAAAAAATTATCCACAAATGTGGCTCGTATGGGAGGCTTGCGAGAAAAAATCCACTCCTCATGAAAGGCCACATGCAGTCACAACTGAGATTTGCCAAAACGCACCTTGAAGATTCTGAGGCAGATGAGACTAAAATTGAATTATTTGGCCTCAACAACAAACAATATGTCTGGCGGAAATCCAATACAGCTCACCATCCAAACAGCATTCCTCCAGTAAAGCACGGAGGTGGTGATCTCCTGTTATGGGGGTGTTTCTCTGCAGCAGGGACTGGAGCACTTGTCAGGATAGAAGGAAAAATGGCAAGAGGCCTACAGCAACTCTGAAGCAGTTGCAGGAATTTATGACAAAGAGTGGTCATTGTGTGCATGTGACAACAATATCACAAATTCTCCACAAATGTGGCTTGTATGGGAGGGTTGCAAGAAAAAAGTCACTCCTCAAGAAAGACCACATGCAGTCACGACTGAGCTTTGACTAAACGCACCTTAAGATTCTGAGGCAGGTGAGACTAAAATTGAATTATTTGGCCTCAACAACAAACAATATGTCTGGCGGAAATCCAATACAGCTCACCATCCAAACAGCATTCCTCCAGTAAAGCACGGAGGTGGTGATCTCCTGTTATGGGGGTGTTTCTCTGCAGCAGGGACTGGAGCGCTTGTCAGGATAGAAGGAAAAATGGATGGGGCAAAATACTGACAAATTCTTGAGGAAAATCTGCTGCCCTCTGCCAGAAAGTTGTCAATGGGAAGAAGGTTTACCTTCCAACATGACAATGACCCAAAGCACACAGCAAAACTGAGCACACAGTGGTTGAAG